TTTTTTTTTGCAGCATAAACCAGAGTATCCTCCAGAGAGCGCAGACAGCAGGCAGCTGATCTGATTGACAAGGACTTGGCTAACTGTGGACCCTCCTTCCCACGTCTCCTCCTCCTCTCTCTCTCCCTCTCTCTCTCTCCTTTCCTCTCCTTTCTCCGTGTTTTCTCCCTCTCCCCTCTCCCCTCAATCGCAAGGCTGCGCTCACCGACTCGACACCACCAACAGGGATGCAGCGAGGGCGCAGCGCAGCCTGAAAATGGCACCACCACGCGTCCTGTGGATCTATCCATCCCTTTCCCTTCACTCCTCCTCCCCGCTGCTGCTGCTGCTGCTACTGTTTCACACCTTGTCCCAGTGCGGAGCCGTAAGGAATTATCCGGAGAATGAAGGTGGGTGTTGTGGCAGTTTGAGCGGACCATCAGTGGAGTCAGATGCTGCATCCTTTTGTTGCGCGCAGAGCAGAGCAGAGCAGAGCAGCGCTGGCGGAGCGGCAGCTCCGAGTCCCGGGCAGCCTCGGTTATGAATGATGTATAAAGAAAAGCCAAGAGAAGAAGGTGGACAGAAATAGAAGGAGGCGATGAGAAAACAGCTGCTCACGTTTTTCCATCCATTGATATTAATTTTGCATGACTCACATGCAGCAGCGACATGTTTAGACTGATGTAGATTTTTAACTTTGACACCAGTGACTACCAGGCATTTGTCCAACTCCTCTGTTCCATTAAAGTAGCCTTACTTGTTATAATTAGACTCAAGAGATATTGACATCTGTGTCAGATTGTCCTGGGATGATAGAAAACTTGGATTATAGCTGACTGATTGATTTTTAGTTGAATTTTACTACTTAAGGACTGTGGCCCCGCTGCCTGAGTCTACAAATGAGGAGCAGCAATTACATTAAATTTGTCACACGCTGCTGCTGCTGCTGCTGCTGCTGCTGCTGCTGCTCAGCCTGTCTGGGTTATTGTATTAACATTGACGCTCTGCCCTGAAATTAGCCAATGTATTTAACTCACTAACTACTGACTGCTGGGTGGACGGACAGTGTTTGGTGCCGACGAGGCTCCAGGATGAATCAAGTGGGGAAACAAAGGTGGCAACATTGGTTGGAGAGGCTTTGTGTGCCCTGATGTGGAGGGTTTGTGACGACGGCTTCTGAAGTGAAAGCACATCCTGCTGTGACTGGACTGTCATGTTGTCAGTGTTGTCCGACCCAGAGCTCGAAACAAAGCTCCCCGTTATGGGCAGCCTGATCTGTCCTCCATTGATAGTTTCTATCACTTCTATCTCCTCAATTACATTGTGGATTAAGCAGCCACACACACACACACACACTCAGAGTGGGCCACACTGAGGTTTTGACAGGACCTCCAGTATCTGGCTGAGTCAACAGTATATAAGCTGAATGTATGTCACAGCCCGCAGGAGTTACAGCAGAACAAAAGCCCAGGAGGTTAGGAAGGTAGAGAGAGGGAGAGCCAGAGAAGGAGAACGAGAGGAGGAAGGAATTCAAGGATTGTGCTTCACACGTGAGGGAGACCT